AGAAAACCTTGGAGAGCCCAAGCAAGCTAGAAGCCCATGGAGCTCCTGTAAATAAGGATTTGGCCTCTTGCTGTGGCTCCCAGAGCCCAGGGTGACTGGGAAAAATGAGGCATGGATGGGACAGGTGTAGGACTGATGGCTCCATTTCACAACCTGAGGGGAACCAGGATACAGAGACAGAGATAACGACTCACCCAAGGGCAAGGAGATCTTGCCAGCTTCATCACAAGTGTGGTGGCTGTCAGTGACCGTCTGAAATGGCCAGAGAAACACGTTCCTGAGACCTTCTGCAAGCTGGACCTGTTTCTGTTCCACAAGGAAAAGCAACCAGTCCCAATGAGCCCATCAGCATGCTGGGGCAGCTGTTCTGAGGCCAAGCATCCACAGAGTCATGGTGTCCTCCTGCCAGCAAGCTACATCGGCCCCAGTGTCCTGGCCAGACGTGCTGTGACCAATAGCTCAATTTCAGCGTAGAGCTCCCAGCAGAGAGATGAAGGCAGCCACACCTCCACTGCCACCTGAAAGGTTTTCCTATGGTGTCACATCTTCTTGGCCATTTCCAGAACCAGAATGGGCACAGATGAGCTTACCCTTCTCCTGGCTTGAGGCTGTCATGTCACCTGAACGCGTAGCTCCAAGGAGGCCACCATGTTACAAGGAAGCCATGCACACTCCTACGTGCCCTAATCAGCTCTGGTAAGAGTGAAAGCATCCAGAAAGCCCAGAGGCCTCCTACTAACTTCATAGTAGACTGGATCACAAGCTCTCCATTTTGCCGTTTGCAAAGTGCCGGGTGTGCAGGGACCTCAGAAGTCTTGACAAGAATGAGATGAGACACAGCAAGAGAAGAGCAGCCACAGAGAGAAAGAGACATCGCTGGAGATGACTCGTCCAAGATACCCCAACTCAACTTCTCCTACACTTCATTTGCAGAGGACCTGGAGCATCTCAGTACAGGAGGAAGAGGGAGATGATAAATCAGCTGGAGAAAACGTTTGTAGCATGGGGAGGGAAGAACAGGAAGATGCTCCCTGGAGTGGTGTGGGGTCTGGAGGGTGGAAGAACATAGAGACAATTATATGAGGACAGAACAAAGAGCTTTCACCAGAGTCCGACAAGGATCAGGTTAAAATCTGAAAGAAGATGGATTTGTTCCACTTATCTTCTAAAATGTCTGGATCTTGTTGCTATTGGGAATTGGACATCAGATGGCCTAAAGAGACGGATCCTTCCTGTCTCCCAAGGTGTTACTAAAAAATGAAAAGTGTGGTTGCTCTTTCCAGCACGTGCAACTTAAAGCTATTTAATGAGGATGTGTTCTTACTGAGCCAGTCAGGACGTTTTCATCTTCCACCTTGCAATCCCACAACCTCTGTCAGGTGGATAAATGAGAAATGTGCACACCAAGGGATCGCTCAGATCCTCAGTGAAGCAACAGCCTGAGCCTCTCAACTTCAGCCCTTGCTCAGGACCTCACTGGAGGTGGAGAGTTTCAGCACAGCTCTCCGTAATCACCATCCCAGGTTCTCCCTTACCTGACCCAAGGAGAAACAGTGAGGTCCAACATCCAAGCAGATGCAGCATTTTGTGGATGCTTTTGTTGCTTTGGACCAATGCAAGAAAAAAAAATGCAGATGGGCTAAAGCAGGTTACAGCAGTCAGCGTGCCTGCTCTGGCGCTGGTGTCCACCTCAAAGTGCACAGAGGGACATGTGATATATGAGTTGGCTGATTCAGCAGCAGAGCTGGGGCAAGCACCCAGAAACACCAAGGTCATGAAGGTAAAAGTGGTCTGATCCTCTGTCCAACACCCACACCTCCAAGCCTGAGAGAGACGAAAAGACGTTTAAGCATCAGATGTGACCACGATGCCCCTCTCATTGCCCCCAGGTTTCCATGAAACGACTGACCCAGGACAACCACCACGGGAGCTTTCGCCTTTACCGAGCACATGCTGTCCGAGTCAGGCTCTGTTAGCAAAGAAGGTGTCTTTGAGGATGAAGACATGGTACGGTGAAGAACTGTGGGTTTTCAGCTCTCCACCACCATTTTCTAAAGGTATCCAAGTTCTCAGTAGACTCCTTTATAAAAGAAAAAGCTCCACTTGGACGGACTTCAAGCTTAAGGAGTCATCAAAGGCACTTGGCAGCTTTCATGCCCAGCTCACGATTCTAATTGAGTTGCAGGTGATGGGGCAGGGCTGGGAAAAAGCTGCTCTTGCAGATCTGGTCCCTCTAACTGAGCCCCAATTCAGAAGTAAGGCTGAGCAGAGGCTTTCATGGTCATCTGCTGCCATCTAGTGTGCACTAGACACTCCAGAGCCCTGCCTGGATTCATGAATCTCTCTAACCAGCCCTCAAGTCCTGTGGACCACAGGTCCCGTCTTATATTTGTGGGTGCATCAGGATGGACATCATCTACCTGCGCTCCCTGTGACCATCTCAGGTTAGATAAAGTCAACAAGCAGACCACTGTGTGTCACCCCTAAATTACGATCTGCCCGTGCCTCCACTCCAAGCAGGGAGCCAGCCTGCAGCTCAAGGGCAGAACTGGGTTGGTCTGGGCGTGGGGACTGGGAGGGGTGTTCTCAGCACTGCTGCTCCTGCCCAGAGAAAAGGGATGCGACAGGGCATTCTGTATCAGTTTAGCACAAGAAGAATCTGCTGGTGCATGCAAGGACAGCTCCCAGACAGAGAAAGTGTCTTTAAGAAGGGTGAAAAACATCCTTGAGGAGTACCCACGGTGCTGTTGAGCAGAGCCCTAGACCAGCACATCTTTGCAGGATCCCTGAGATCACAAACGAGTGGTTCTATCAATTCCTTTCTATCCTGAATAGCTCAGATCTAGCCCCTAAATGCATGTGTCCTAGCTCTGCACTGTTGGTGATGTTTGGACAGCTGCAGAGGTTGAAGTCCTCATCTCACTCTTCTGGCAACAGAAGAAGGGGAGTGTGATGGTTGAGTAGGTGACATAAAAGCAAGAATCTAAGCCCGGGGACGCTGCATCAGCTTGATGTGATCACTCAAGTGCTGGTCTTTTTTTGACTGCAGCGCTGTCATCCCTCACTTTGTGATTAACCTAAAGGATCTGACTCAGTGAGGAAAGTTTTCCCAACCTCTTCATCATTGCAACGACTTCTCTAAACCCCCTCCAGCTGCTTAACCCTCTGCTAACATCTGTACTGGACAGAAGAATAGAGGTACTCACAGGCATGGAGCAGAGTTTCCCCTCTCCAGGGGATCCATATGTTCTTCTGCAAGACTGCCCATGCAAAAAGACCTTGGGAGATCACTAAAAAAGAAGGGACCCTGGGAAGGTTTAGGGACTGCCTCATTTATTCCGTCCCCTGGAGGTCATCTGAGGATGATCGCTCAACGCAAATGATTCTGTGATTTTGTGACTTGCTATCAGAGTTAAGAGGAGATGCTGGATCTTATTTCCCGCCTGGATATTCACCAACCAAGAAAAATATGGAGGTACCAGAGATGCTTCAGGCAAGACCCATGTGCATAATCAAAGACTTCCAAACAAAGTGTCATCATTAGAGAGTAAGGACAGGTCAGGCTGAGGTGGCCTTAACCACAACCTGCAATTAGTAGCCCATTTTGTAACTCTGGGGATGATTCCTTGAGGGTTGTCCTTGAGCCTACATCATGAACAACCTTTACATCGGTTGGACAAATCTCAAAATATTTGTCCTAGGACGGATGGGATCTGCACCAGGGTAGCTGACATGTCCCACCCAGCTGGACCAAATGATCCCAGGTTTCAGGGTTGAGAGGAGAGGTTCCAGAGATGTCTGTTTGCATTAGTGTGGTGGGAGACCCAGCATCCTTGGTGTCTAAAGTTTCTCAAGGAACTTCTGAACAAGAAAAGAGCCAGAGGAGACAGGGGACGGTACAAAGCCTTTGTTCTCATTTCAGACCCCGACAGAGCCTCGTGTCAAGTCATAGGAATGTGGCACGGTATAGTACAGTGCAGGTCAACAGCACCTTTGATCTGAGGATCGTAAAGCCCTTTCAAGAAATCAGTTTGGTAAACCTCACAACACCCCTGTGAGGTAGGTATCACTCCCCCCCTCCCATTTTACAGACGGGGGGAACTGAGGCACAGAGAAATGCAATGGCTTGGCCAAGGTCTTTGGGCAAGCCAATGACAAAGGCAGGAAGTCTTCCTGCTCTTGTTCCCGGCTTGTGGCTCCTTCCCCCTTTGGGCAGCAGAGTATTAGCATCTCACAGAGCTACTGTTGGGCTCGGCCCATGAGCAGGGAACATGCAATGTTTATGGTGGAGCTCCTGAGCCCCTTGAAAGCACCCTGGTAACCAGCTGCCACCAGCACTTCAGACATTAAACCGTTTCCCGGACAGCTTCTTCTTTCACGTATGGCCTCAGGATTGTCACTTCTTTTGTCTCGTGCAATCGGGCAGGAGGCCAGGAGGATCTTTCACGGAAATGTCCCAGCACTGTATGGCACAATCCAAAACGGAAATCATTTTTCTCGTGGAAAACTTCTCCCCAGAGACAATACCCAGCATCCAACTCTGGTGTCTGTGGGTGGCGGTGGGGTCTCACCAGGTCTGGAGGAGAAAGAGGAGGTAGCTATCACATGGCTTTTGCTGCCACTGTTGTCAGAGTCTTAAGTCAGTGTTGGGTGTTCTCTTGACCCCAGGTCACTCCATCCCAGCCCATGTGCAACATGGAGAAGAAAATAAAGCTGGGGGGTAAAATGGCAAGGAAGAAGGAGCTGTGGTGGAGTCTCCATCGTGGTAACCCTACTATTAGCCCACCCCAACCCTTAGTTATGTCATGGTACCGATTTCTCCTCTCCTGCCCCCACCACTACAATTTTTGTGCTGAATACATATTCTGTCTTATAAAAATAATCCTCTGGTATCAAAAGACAAATAAAACAAGGGAGGAATAAAAGACCCCTGTCGCCAGCAGCAGTGCAAATCAGGAGAGCCAGCTCAGGAAGCATGGGCTTAAGGTGTCCTTGGTTTGTCACTTCTTCAAGGAGAAGGAGGTTGAGTGGCCTTTGATGGCTGGGACTGGCCTGGAACAAGAAGACAAAGAAAGGAGACAAATTATGCAAGTGCAGAGACCAAGTATCCACCACAATCATCCTTCTACAGCTCAGGGAAGACAGATCAGCTGCTGTCCCTGAGACCAGAGGGGCCCTGGGATTGTCGCGGTCACCCCTGTTTCTCTCAAAAATACAACCCCAAATTTCACCACTTTGAGGTTTCCTTTGGTGTTCGCTCAAAACCCCAACAGGACACAGTGTCCACCAAGGCCTGTGGTGGCAGCAGGCAGGATCCAGCAGTGAAACTGTGAGCCCACCGTCTGCAGGAACCATGTCCTCAAAGGGGTTACTGCTCTCAGCTTCCCCAAACCAGCCAAGATCTTAGAGGTCTTCTCCAGCCTTAATGATTCTACAATTCTATGCACTACCAAGACAAGCCACCAAATCTACTAACCCAATATGGATCCTACAGTTCCTCCCGGGAATTATGATCCCTCTCACATCATCCTTCTATGGAAAGAAAACAGTTCCCTGGCCTTTCTCTTACCACCTTGGTGGTGTCAAGTAACAAATCCAGGCCAGGACGTAGGCATGTCCTGCTCCCTGGTACAAGTGTGACCCTGCTAGTCAACACCTTCTTATATGGGCATTATTTCAAGAGACAACGGCCAAGGACTGCTCCCAGTGGGCAGCAGGGACAAAACTACACCATCTGGGGAGGAAGATAAGTTTGGCTGCTGGGATGTGCCAAATCTTTCTCTTTCAGGGCCAAAGTCAACTAGAAGAGATGAGCTACAGGGATTGAGTTATACTAAGAAATTTCGGGGCCTCCTTGTGGTGGCAACTACAAAGACACAGGAACCTAAACCGGCCCAAGAGGGTCAAACCAGTAATTAGTACGGCCAGCTTCAGTCCAGCATGGTGCCTTGTCTCCATGGCTGGATATGGCCCACAGGTCTGCCCAGCAGAACCAGATGCACACACAATATCCTGAGGCTCCACTGGCCTATTTCCAGAGGATTTAGTAGTATAGCAAGAGCTGGAAGTAGCAGAGACATTGTAAAGGACTTGGGCTGGATCTCCAAACTGGAAAGCCTGTGTCCTCCATTCCCTTGGACACAGGTGCTCAAACCCTGCTATTGGTTGGGTACCCAAAGGGGCTACGTCCTGCCTATCTAAGAGCAGGGAAAAGAGACAATTCCCAGTCTCTCGGGCTCAGCCCAGTGCTTAACCAAAGGCCGTGCCCCTAGAAGCAACCCCCTATGGTCCTGCACGGTGTCTGCAACTCACCTTTGAGGTGGCATCGGTCTGTAGGGAGGAAAGAAAAAACAGAGCATCAGTGTTCACTCCTTCACTCCACTGTCCCCCAGCAGCTCACCAATGGTCCCCACCGTGCTCTGGGACAAGTGGCCATATGCACCCACCAAAGGCTGGCACTTCCCTTAACCCACCAGGACCCTTTAGGACCCGAAGTGTCAACTTTGGTCACCACTGACATCTCCTGGGACATCTCCTGATTTCCTTTCTACCTGTTGCTGCTGCCACCAGGTGCCCCATTGTTCAGATTTCCAGTGTCCTACAGGTCAGTAATCTCAAAGCTCGTGAGCTTCAAACTCCTCTGGAGCTACAGAGGTGGGTACAGACCCTCATAGCCCAGAGCACAGACCATTCCTCCTGCTCCTCAGCAGCCTGACCTGTACACACCTGCCATATGGTAGAGAATCACAGAATCACAGAATCATCCAGGTTGGAAAAGACCCTTGGGATCATCGTGTCCAACCATTAACCCTACTTACAAGTTCACCCCTAGACCATATCACGCAACACCACGTCCAAGCGATGCTTAAACACATCCAGGGATGACAACTCAACCACCTCCCTGGGCAGCCTGTTCCAATATCCCACAACTCTTCCCCTGAAGAACTTCTTCCTAGTGTCCAGTCTAAACCTACCTTGTTTAAGCTTGAAGCCATTCCCTCTAGTTCTATCACTAATTACCCGAGAAAAGAGACCAGCACCAACCTCTCCATAATGTCTTTTCAGGTAGTTGTAGAGAAGTTGTAGAGGAGCAGGAGAAGCCCAGGTCACAGTGAAGACACCACGAGGGACAGACCAGAGCACACCACAGTGACATTTGGGATGTTCTACCCACACCTGACCCATAAGACCCCTCACTGTGTCCACCCCTCACTGTGACCCCAGCAGTGGTGGGAGATAGCTCAACCTCCCTGTCAACTTACTTTAACGGCCTCGTGGTGTGGCTCATGGTACTTGTGCCTGACGCCTTGAAGTTGGTAGGAGGGACCATGACCAGCAGGGTCTGTCCATGTGCAGAAGGCAGCTCTTTGGCCAGAAGAGGACTTCCAGGCAGTGGCCGTCGAGGGGGCTGGTGCTTTGGGGCAACCTGGGATCACAAAGTGTGTGGGGAGAGACAATATCTTTAGAGGAGTATCCAGTATCTCAGAGCTGAGATACTTCAAAGTGTGTAACACCACCACCCAAAACACCTTAAAATATTCTCACTATCTAATGAGTTTTCTTCACCATTGCAAGAGATTTATCTCTTAGAATGGCTTGACAGCTTCTCAACAGCACCCAACCCAAAAGAGCTACAGACAGACAAAAAAAATCATGAGTGTGGCAGGAGAGTTGGTTTGCACCAGCAAAACTCACCAGCGGGGTCCTCACAGGGCTGCAGGGAAGAGGTTTCTTTGGAGGCGGCAGCTTAGCCTGGGATTCGACCTTTTTGGTGGGGACCATGGGCGATTTGCTGACTGGTGGAGGTGGCCTGGCAGGCTTGGGGTCTCTTGGGCGTGAAGGGTTGGAATGGGGAGCTGGGCGAAGAGGGTGCACAACATTGACAGGCTGAGAGCCAGGCTGGTGAGTGTTGGGTTTGGGGGGGAATGCAGTCCGTGTTGCCTGCAGAGATGAGAAAAGCAGAAGTAGAATCACAGAGTCATAGAGTTGTTTAGGTTGGAAAAGACCTTTAAGATCTTGGCTGGTTTGGGGAAGCTGAGAGCAGTAACCAGCTGCTAAGTTGGCGTGTATTCCCGGGTGCAGATATGCCCCCTGGGTGCTAGCGAGTTGCAGGATGAGCGTTAGGCATTTATTCCACTTTCTGGGGCCACCAGTTTTACCATCTCACCCAAAAGCTGAATAAATTTCCTTCTCGCTAACCACGTGAGAGCACACAGGGATGAGAAAGGTGCTGGGATCAGGAGATGTGGACCAGGGTCAGCTCTGGTGAATCCACACCAGACTTCCACCAGACTGAATTAGAGAGATGGGAGACATCATCTGTCCTGCCCTATTCTCAGCCACCGTGGCTATGCTCAAAAAAATACTAAGTTCTTCCTAAATTCAGCCACCATGGCTTACTCATCCCAAAGGTTACCAGAGATGATACAACCATCAGCAGAAGCATCTGCCTGTTGGGATACCCATCACAAAGTCATCGGCAGGCTTGCAGAGCCCCTGCTAAGCTTTTCCACGGTGATGGGCAATTCCCCAGTGGAGACTCCTGGCAGTCACCGGGGTCTTTTTTTAGAATCATAGAATGAAATGGAATGGTTAAGGCTGGAAGGGACCTTGAAGATCATCTAGTTCCAACCCATCTGCTGCGGGCAGAGCTCCACAGACTCACTTTTAGGAAGGAGTTGTACCACTGACCACGGGCTCACACTGTAGACACAACGCAAAACCAGCATGTAACACCAGTTGCTTGCCCGCTTGCTAGAGGGAGCTGTGATCACCCACAAGTATCCAGTCCCAGGGAGGGAAAACAAAACCTAGAAGGGGAGTTATTACTCACTTTATTAGCGTGGCTGGAGGTGGAAATGTTCCGCAAGGTGAAAGCAGCTTTGGGGTGGCCCCCAGTTGACTTCCGACTGTTCCTGCCCAGGATTACAAACATAAATCACAGATGGCAAAAATAAAGCAACCGTGTTGTTTTTTGGCAACAGCTGCCTCCCAGAATGCTGCACATCAGCAAGATCCTGTCTCTGCTAACAGATTGTTAACAGATAGTCTTGCAGTGCTGGGTGGGCAGGGATGACAAGTCTGACTTGAGATAATGAGGGTAATGAAGGAGGTTTGTTGGTTCCATCGGGTTTTTTCTTAAATTATTGCAGAGGCTCTGAGACATGTGTGTGTCTGTATCTGAACTGGGAGGGGAAATAATGAGAATATCTCAGCTCAGCACTATTTCAGAGCCCTTCCAGCTCTTGCAGGCTACTAGGAGCAGATGGCAAGAAAGCTGCTTAGTACCAGGTTATCTTCATCATCACTTTCTGGGGTTGTCCTGGCCAACAGATCATTCCTGTTCTCTGCTTAGGCAAGAGCTAAGCGCCTCAGATTGTCCCAGGAGAGAGCTCTTCACATCTCAACCAGCTCTCTTACCAGTTTATAACAGGCCCTGTGCACCACCAGCTCCCCCACAACTATTTCTACCAGGCTGGATGCTGCCAGCGGCAAGAGAATAAGAATTCAGGGTCTCACTGGGTCCTCAAGGGAGAAGAGATTCAGGATGTGTCACCCACCTATATGTCTCCTGGCTCCTCCTCCTCATCTCCTTTATCCATTTATTCAGGAGCGAGTTCTCCTGCCGGTACCAAAAGTAGATGGTCATCATCAGGGCCGGGAGGAAGAGCAGGAAGATGAGCAGAAGGGTTACTACGATGGCTTCATGATCTGGCAGAGAAAGAACAAAGATGAGTGTGGGGCTGGAAGAGCCAGCAGCCTCCAGACCCACTTGATGCCAACGTCGGTCCCATCTGCCCATTCCTGGCCACCCAGGCTAGGGACATCATCGCTGATCACACCTCCAAAGAGGCAGCAGTACCATCTGGTGGCCTCTGATGAAAATTGGTGGCCACCAATCAACCAGAGCTGGGCTGTGAGTCTGCCTGAACTGACCCAACCCAGCACATTCAGGAGCGGAGCTGTCAGCAGCCTTATGGCCCCATCTCCACTTCTCGTGGCATCGCTCCAGCCCCACTGGCGTCAAAAGGCATCCGATGAGAAGTC